TTTCTTTCTTTTTTCAAGCTACAAAACTGCTCAGTCATGCTGTCGCTCTACGATTTTTCCTTCGAAAAGGGTTACAGAGAACCATAGTCCAAAGCCATATGGGAGAAATGCTCAGAAGAATTATTTTTTATTATTATTATTCTTTAAACAATCTGGGAAAGAAGTACAGCCCCTTTAACAAAAAAAATTCCCATTGGCAAAATAGGTCCACCGAAGAAAAAAGAAGTTCAATAGGAAAACATCTGAGCAAAGAACCTCCAATATTTTCTCTCCCTTCCTCCCTCTCTCTTTCTTTCTTTCTTTCTTGATCAAAGTTGTCATTTTTTTGGCAACAGACAGAGTTAGCTTGACAAGAAGCCTCTTCAGCCAAGGCCTGACTATTGTTGGTGCTCTGAAGCTCCAATGAAATGAAGCTGGAATGACAAATAACCTGAAATGAAGAAGTAGTGCATGGAGAGTGCAGGAAGGCAGGGATGTGAAGGAAATACACACATTGCCCCAAATAAACATGCATCTCAGAAGACAGAATCACAGAACTGGAAGAGACCCCAAAAGCCATCCAGTCCAACCCATTCTGCAATGCAGAAATACACAACCAAAGTCCTCCTAACTGATGGCCATCCAGTCTCTGTTTAAAAGCCTCCAAAGGAAGAAAGTCCACCACACTCCAAGGCAGCGTCTTCCACCATCAAACAACTTTGACTATCAGGAAGTTCTTCTTCCTAGGTTTTAGGTGGAATCTCTTTTCCTCTAGTTTGCATCCATTGCTCTGGGTCCTATTCTCTGGAGCAGTAGAAAACAAGCTTGTTCCTTCCTCAATATGACATCCCTTCCAATACTTAAACAGGGCTATCATATCACCTCTTAACCGTCTCTTCTCCAGGCTAAACATCCCCAGCTCCCTAAGTCTCTCCTCATAAGGTTCCATGATTTCCAGACCTTTCACCATTTGGATCACTCTCCTCTGGACTTGTTACTTGTGCATGAAAACATGCTTTGTCCCAAGCACTTTGGTGTGGCTTTCCATCAAAGATGTGCAGATGCCTCCCTCCCTTCGATATGGCCCAAAACAGCCACCTCCCTGACGGGATGAAGGGGTGTGAATGTGAAAACATATGTGTGTGTGTGTCCCAGTAACACCTTCTGTCTCGGCAACAGCATTGTGGGACTGTCTTCTGCAGTCCAGCCTTGCAAAAATGCCACCTTCCCTGTTCCCCTGCTTCTTGCAAACTGATCAAACGTGGACACTGTCAGATGGATCCATAACTGGTTGTAAAAACCATGCTCAAAGAGCCATCATCAATGGCTGCACTTCACACAGAAAAGACGTTTCGAGGGAGTGCCTCAGGGTCCTGTCCTAAGGTCATCACTCTTCAACATTTTTACCAATGACTTAGGTGACATGGCAGAGGGGATCCTTATCAAGTTTGCTGTTGACACAAAACTGAGAGGGGCAGCTAACACACTGGAAGATAGGAAGAGAGTTCAAAAAGACCTAGGCAAACAAGAAAATTGGGCAGAAAATAATAAAAGGAAATTCAATAGAAACAAATGCACAATTCTACCTTTAGGCCACAAAACCCAAATCCACTGCCAGAGGTCCAGCCTGAAGGATAACCAGTTGCTGACCACAACTTCAGCAGAACGTAAGAGGATGGAGTATTTTGTCAGGCGGGCTTTTCTGCCTATGGGTTTTTCCTGCTCTGGCAGTCATCAGCAATACTGTAAGAAAATCCTATTGCCTACAATTGAGCGGCTACCTTTACCTCTTTCCAAGCATATCCCTAAATGCAAATGACCATTGGGAAAACCACAAGGAGTCTCACACCAGCTGGCTTTAACAAACTGCATTGAGCCTTGCTGTTTGAATGAGGCAACCAAGGCTAAATTTAAACACCTCTCCTCATGTGAGGCACATTTTATTTTTTAAAAAATGCAGCCAGGATTGCTTCAAATAATCTATCTCTCTCCAGACCTGCGGTTCCACAACAAACAACAAAGCCGAGTGTGAGAAAGTGATTATCAAAGGCTCCCTTGGGCAAGTGAAGTCCTGCAAAACAGGAGAGTCGACTGAGAAGGAAACAACCAGCCGCTGAAAAGAGCAGAGACACTGTCCCAAGAGCAGAAAAACTGTTGTGGTTTTTCCCTTCCCCAAGCCAGAAATATGGAGCAAGAGAGCCTTTTAACTGTCAACCAGCAAGAAATGGAACAACAAAAATATAACAGCACCACAGAAGTTGTTTTGACAGGTCCAAGCATCCAGCTACCAGTGTTTTCAGTAGAGCAAGGAAAAGTTAGGGTTTTGGATTACAATCCCCAGGATCCCCGAGCCAACAGGACTATTGCCATGCCGGCTGGGAGATGCTGGGAGCTGTAGTCCAAACAAAGAACTTTTCCAAGCTCTGCTTCTCAGGAATGTAATGGGAAAGTTGGTTATTCCAAACTTTTACACCTGACCTGGCATTAATATCATACTTCAAACTATTTTTGGATAAATGAAAAAACAGGTAAACCAGGGTACCTATATAAAGCTGTATTTGCATCATTTACTCAGAAGATAAAAACCAACTGTTACTATCATAAGAAACACAACTTAACTGAATAGAAAAAGGATGCCCCCCCCCAATACCCACATTAAAATATACTGGAATAGCAAACAGACCTCCCTTTTTCCTTGCTATTTGTTCAAAGAGCTTAATGAATTCACATTTGTGAGCCTAGACTAATTTGCTGGATTTGAGTTCTTCATTTCATAAGCACTTTTACAAGACCTTGGAAAAGTTAGTGAGTTAGTTGGATTGCAACTGTTCCCAGGATTCTCCAGATAGCATAACCATCAGAGGATTCTGGGAAGTCAAGTCCAAAAAGGAATTCTTACCAAGCTTGGGCTTCAACAATCCTAACTCTGAGGCTACTTTTACATGGCTAGCTTCAACTGATCTTAACTAATTTACCTGTTGTGACTTCTAAAGAACCCTGGGATCTGCAGCTTGGTAATGGCTTCAAAACCCATGTAAAGAGATCCTGACCAACCAGTCTTCAGAGACAAAGCTATGTTAGTCTGGAAAATATCAATATACAAAGAGATCTTGTAGCACCTTTGAGACTAACTGAGTGAAAGATGTAATAGCAGAAGCTTACATATAATAGGTCTCCTTCCTCAGATGCATGGAGTGAACTGGTGCTCAGGAAGGACATTTTAATTAGACCTTATGAATAGCCATATAAATGCAAAACTTGAGGGACAACGACTACAGTTAAAATTGGTCACCTCATCACCATACCCACATGTTTTGCATTTCCATGGCTATTCATATAGTCTGATTATACAAAGGTCCTTCCTGGGTTCACTCCATGCACCTGAGAAAGGCAACCAAGTCCACGAAAGCTTATGCTACAACTTCTTTTGCACAGTTAGTCTCAAAGGTGCTACAAGATCCCTTTGCAAACTAGTTCTCAGTTACAGTCTGATACAGTCCTGCCTTGATTCTGACCTGCTTTCCAATACAAATAAGACCATGATCTTTGGTATAATCCTGAAGCTCTGGGCCCTTGCTCTAAGCTCATCTGAGATGACTGACCACCTCCCTCTTTCATTTTCTGTTTCCAAGATCTGCAAATTTTATCTCACTAGAGCATGACTCTTGAGGGTTGAATTTGAGGAAGGTGCCAAAGAGATCACTCGGATTCAACGCATTAAAATGTCTGCCAACCTGAGAATTCTCCAGGAGTGATATTGGGCGAGTTCGTAGCCTCCGTTTCAGTGTAGGACAACGTGGAATCTGATAGATCTAGGAAACAAGATGGGAGAATAGAATGGTTAAAAGAAAAGCATTAATTCCCCCCTTTAAAAAAAAAAAAAAAACAACGCAACCCTGAGTCTGAAATGCAAGATGGAACACACTCCAAACCCAGGTTGCATTCACACAAGCAACTGGAACGCAACCTTCTAAACGCCTGGGTGTTCTTCTCACTCCATCCATGAACATGTTGCCTTCCTGATGAGGGAACAGAAATAATGAAGCCCACATTTGGATTATCCCAAGCCTACTCTCGCAGACAGCTTTTCACAAGATGCTGGAAGTAGTACAGCCCACCCACTTTCTTTGGGGAAATCAATAAAGAGGAAGGGAGTGGAGATGTCAGAGAAGGAGAAGCCTAAGACAAGCAGCAACTGGGGACAACCCAATGGAGTTTATCACGCCGGAGCAAAGTGCCCAAATCCCAGGCAGAAAGAGGATTTAAAACCTGAAAAAAGCCCACGATTTTCACACACATCAGGGTTAATGAGCAATTAGCCCAGGCAGAAAAGAATCACGTTTTGTCAACTTTCTGTCCAGGTTAATTTTGTGTAAACGCTCATTAACCCTGACGTCATGTAAAAATCAATCCGCTTTTGCAGGTGTTTTTCCACTTTCTGCCCGGGTTAATGCTCCAAAGTTGTGTGAAAATCAATCCGCTTTTGCAAGTTTTTCCTGTTTTAAATCCCGTTTTTGCACAGGATCCCTCCTGTGTGATAAACCCCTATGATAAACTCCTATGATAGATCATTAACCCTGATGTGTGCGAAAATCGCAGGGGGTGTTGGGTTTTAAATCCTGTTTCTGCATGGGATTTGG